AAAAGGGCTTACTACAGAAAGTTTTTAGTAAAAAGTACATAGTTACAAATTATTTTAAAGAAGAAAACAAGGACCTTTTGGAGTTAAAAACAAATTTGTATGGCATTCTCGATAAGATGTTTGAGTTTACCTCAGAAACAGTTTAAAGTATCCCTTGCTGAGGATTTCAACTTTAGAATATTTCGGGATATAAACAAAGTGTGATCCGAATTCAGCTCGAAGGCCGTACCCTAACCCAAAATGTTTTAAATAAACAATTCACACAATAATATTTCTCTTTATAATTCAAATAAAAAGTAATTCATTTGAAATTGATGGAAACCATTACATTATTTTGCCTTGTTATTTTATTGCTCGTCTTTCAAAAAATCAAATTACCGATATTATAGAAACTCTAACACCAGAACAAAGTTCAAAAATAAAAATACAACACTACTAACAAACAATAAAATATTTGATTTTTTAAAAAATTAATATTCGACGCGAAGTAGAATATTTTCTGTCGACTCACTTTTTCATTCCGTGACGTCACTGCGTCCTTAGTAACCGTGATGAGGCCATCGTGTTGTTTAAGAACTGTGGCAAGCTCCATCATGCCCAAGTCATGTCTTTGATAATTTTGTCGTCTTCTATCGAACCATAGAACGGTTGACGAACCTCAATAAAGAATTTAATTTCTCTATTTACTAACAGATTGACTGATAGTCGATTAAGTATGAACAGAATATACCAGTTTTAGTATTTTTGATGCATATTTATTTACGATTTTGTGGTGTTTTAGATTATTTCATATTTATAGGGTTGGCGTTACTGAGAGTTTGCCAACACTATATCTTTTGTCAAATACGTGTCTTTTATCATATGATATGTTGGACTCGAGGTGTGCGACGTTGTTTTTCGTAATCTGCAGCTGTAACGCCTTTTACCGCTAAATACCTTCAATGAATCAACAAACTTTATTCAGTCTTGTCTCGATTATTGTGTATCGTTTTAAATACACAACAATATTGGCGACGAGGATGGGATCGTTCCTGCGTGTTTGAAAGTCTTGTTAACTTGTTATCATTAGTAAGAGTCTTGTCGTAACCTATACCAGCCACGTGTTTAGCCAAATTCAAGTGAACAGAAATGGCTTTAATTGGCACAATAGAACTCTTCAGCCCTAGTGAATCGGTCGTATAGAATGTAGAAACGTTAGAACAACTATTTGTTTGTATTGAAATAGAGCAGTCCAAGAAAGTACCGATATTTCTAACATTAATAGGAGGAGAGCATACAAAATAATAAAACATGTATTGGCACCCACAACAAAGTCGAGTTAAAAAAGGCACGTATATTGCCCAAAACGTTTAATAATTGCTGAAGGATATAATTTTTATAGTTGTAACTAAGATAAAGATGAAGATATAGTTTAACACGGCAAACCGAGGTAAAGTATTTAATAAATTCTATTATAAAAGATGTTTACATGTATATCAAGATGTTAAAAAATGCCCTGCTTTAAACTAGAAATGTTTTGCCTGCAATGACGAAGAATTACCAGAAGATGATTCATTAGAATTGGGAGCTTTAGAATAATATGATTCGATAATATGATGAGAGAATATAACAATATTAATTTAAATTTGTCAATCTACTCAAATGTATATATAATTCTATACTCATTGATCGAGAGAGCCCTAGATGTCGCGATAGGATTACCTATAATAAAACGTCCATAAGGTTGTTCTACTAGGCTATTTAAATACAATGGTGTTACTAACAAACCATTCTGTCAATTTTTATTTTGACATAAAAGTTTAGGAGTTTTTTTTAATATATTGTTTGAAGGTCGAAAAAAGTAGTTTGTAAGAAAATGTTTTTTTATTATAGTTGTTGGAGTGGTATGATTTTAGTTGAATACGATCTTGAAAATAACAGAAATAAAATTAAAATTGACACCTAACTTCTATTTTTATTTATTGTTTTACAGAATTGATTGTATACCAAACGATATATAAACCAAAAGTTAGCGTACTTACTTTAGGAATAAATTTTAAGATCTAACATGACTTAAATGAAATCAATTCAAAAACAAGATATTTAGTCTATAAAAAAACTTTGTTTAGCTAATTTTTTACGTCATCACTAAAGTAATGCATTAGATGACGTCAGACCCAGACAGCACACATAGTCCAATGAACTTCGATTTTAGATCCACTATAGCCGTATTTGGACTCTCAATACACGTCGGTTTATGAACATTATTCAGTTGACAGCTGCATATCGATACCCAGCAGTGAACGTCTGTTTTTTGAAAATAAGTTTAATAGATACACGTTTAGATAAAGCGGTATTGGTAGTAACACATTCCATGAACGCATGCGCATGCCAGCCCGTGAATATACAACAAGCAGACGAAGTAAGCGGGTAGCGGCTTTGCCACCACCAGAGAATATTAACCCATACCTGGCATAAAATCCAACTGCCTGGACAAAGCTGAAATTTAAATGAAAAGTCTCACATAACACATCTGCGCATTTATAAGCATGGTATGTGTTACTACAAATACCGCTTCCTCACGTTTAGTAGTATTTTGACGTCCATTAGTCATCCATCTTAAGTCACAATTTTTTTAGCTTACCAGATAATACCTATTAAAATTTTCTTTTTTTTTTCCAAAATTTAATGATAATTGAATTGGTCATTAAAAATTGAAGAATATGATATATATTTCAGTTCATTCCACCAGCGGAAGTTTGAAATCTTAACTATTAGAATCTTATCTAGTATCAAATTGTTACATGCCTCCTTGGTCGATCGGCTTAAGGTGCTAAACGTTGATCAACGAGTTGTGAGTTCGATTCCCGGTCAGGGATAAAAAAATAATGGTATATGACGTGTTGCGAAATTAATAAATATATTAATAATAATCTAAAATAGATGGCACCGTCAATTGCGAATTGCGGAATGACAGTGTGTATTGACATGGTGTATTCAGATGTAGTTATATGATCAGCGCTATGTATTCTATCTACAACACGGGAAATCATTAATAATGAATTAAATTTAAATGTCGAACAAACCGCTTTTTCATAAATTGGCAGGCTTGGCGACTACTATTTCGAATAAAAATAGTGTCCACGATGAAAGGCCATGTCGCAACCCCCTTAGATATACGAGCCCTTTCCACCGACAGCTATTGTTTGCCTAATACAATCCAGAAATTTGAACATCAAGTATCATATCAAAAACGTTCAATGGAAGTCCATTGGTCATTATATTTAACGTTCATTGCGTGGATCTACAATGTTCAAAGTTAATTCAGAAACGGACGTCCAATGAATGGTCAAGGGTGCGCCATTTGTATACTCAGTTGTAAGTAGATAGATTGGACACCAAATGCCAAATGGACATATTTGTGCTGTCTGGGAAGGTATTTTTTTGCTATTGGGGTCAGAAGAGTAAAATAACTTTTGCCTTCGCTTGCAAGTGGAGGCAAATTATGGCGAAATTCGACATTTTTCATAATAAGTTTTTATAACTAATTGACGTTTGAAGAAAAAAATGTTATATTCGGAGTAAAAGGAACTTCTTGTAACTAGTCATAATATTATTAGTATTAAAATATAATAAAAAAAGTAATTGCTTCCTAATGCCAAAAACTCACACACATACACAATAAAATATTAGTTAGTTACTAATTCGGTTTAAATCTGAAAAAAGGGATGTGAAATAGTTTGTAACTGTAATAAACAATACATTTACAGATTTACTGTCCATATCTAAATTCCCATGTTGCCTAAATTATTTTTCCAAATTTGAATTTTTGGTGAAGGGTGTGAATACATTTTTGCAATTTTGCATTTTGGCTTTTTTCTATCTAAAACAATATTACAAATCTAATTTTATTTTAAGGTAATATACGGGGAATTTCAATAAAAACTATCCGCCCTAAATAATTTTAAAGGCGAGGCTTGAAAATATACAAAAATAAGTCACAAATCATGTAAAGGAGGCGTCTTTTTGCTCATGTATACTCTACATGGCCAGCACAAATGTTTTTTGCAATGGAACCCTGTATATTATTGCATTTTTTTATATTTTCCTCTAATATTCGATTCCAAAAATGTATACCTACCTCATGTGTAAAGTAAATCTTTTGGAAGGTACAGATAATTTCAAATTATTAACAGAAACTGTTTAATTCTTAACAAATTAATGAAATTGTTATCATATTAATAAAACATTATTTTATTAGGTGTTTAAACTGACTTCCATATAATTATTTTTCATTTATTTTCAATAAAGCCTCACTTTAAAAATTATTTCATTAACATTCCCTGTATAGACGAAATGGTTTCAAATGTTGGTTTTTCGGAATTATTGTCAAAACCAAACCATTTTTAATTTAACACTTGAAATCATTTTTTAAATAATTTGAAAGGTTAGAAAAGAAAGAAAATTGACATAATGTTAGTCTACCCTTTTTAAAAAAGCATTGAATATGCAAAAAATAACACAAGAAACATGAAAGAAACGGAAGTTTGAAAAATTATTTTTATTCCTAGCGTTAATGGCTGATTAATTAAAATTCAATTTTTAAAATTGATCCGCAAAATCTTAGAGTCCATTATAATCCATCATAATTATTGTTATTTTTTTTAAACAATAAATTAGGGTCCAATACTTACTAATTTTCCGGTTTTTTAAATATAAATTTTATCTGAATTTCAGATACAAAATCGACCAGAGAAGTATCGCCTATATTATGTCAAATATTATGATGATAATATTTTAATTTAATAAGCCATTATTGAAAAATATTAATATTCATCTTAAAGTTCGAATTTTAAAAAACCCTAATCTAAATAAAACATTCCACAAACACATTAAACAAAATCAAATTTGCCTGCCCACCAAAGTATTTTACAAAAGTAAAGCTGCAATTTCATAGAAACCACGTCATCAATAACGAAATATGTAACTCAAATAAAGTCTTTTTATTTAAAACCCAGAAGTCACGACTTCCACTCCTTAAATTTTCTTATCGACACCTTTTTCAATCTCGACATCGTCGACATTAAATCCGACTCCTTAGCGTCTTCGTCACTCAACGTTTCGCCCTCAGAGTGTACTTCGCGCGTAACGTCTTTTTTACTCGCGTTTGCCGAAACGGTAGAATCCCTATCCGAAGTAGACTTATTACGGGCGTTCGATTTACCCTTAGAGTCTTCTCCGGTTTTACTCTTCCACTTGGAAGTGGTTGGATCACTCAGGGCAACTTGCACCGGCATCTTGATGCTATTAGATGCGACATTTCTAGCGACATTCAGTCCTCTGCTGATTCTATCGAGCGTCGCCAGTCGCAGACTCGCAGTAATTCGGTTTTTGCGCAACGAAGTAGGCGTGGCGTTTGCGCGCTCTTGAAGTATGAACCGGCCGATGGTCTGCCAATGCGATTGCGCGCTGTAGACGTTTTCGTAATCGGCTAACGCACGTTGTTGGATATTATGACTAGCTCCACCCCACTCTAGTTCTTCCACTATCACAAAGTTCATGGGGTCTTCTAGGCGACGCGCTTTGACTAGGGCTTGTGCAAGGACATCTTGCGCGCACGCGTTTAGCGGAACTTTGAGGATGGCGTATGGGATTTCAGGGGAAACGTTGTATATACACACGAGGAATGTGTCGTTTATTTCCCAAGCGTTGCTTGGACAGCCGTCGGATTTTCTGGCTTCGCGTTCTCGGTTGGCGACACTTCGAATTGAGGAGAGCCAGGCTCGGCTGCTGGGATCGTCGCCCATTCTTTTGAGGATGAATCGACCTTCTCCTTTCCATTGCGATTGTGCCTGAAATCATATTTTTTAAGGATTAATGGTAAACTCACGCAAAAATTAAAAGAATTAAATCGCCACCAATCACTTATATAAAATTGATTACACGCGCCCAATAGATTCATAAATTTCACATTAAAAAATACCCAACTTTAACAATAAAAATCAAGTCCCATCTCTATACTTTGGTCAACGACCAGGCGAAAATAATAGTTAACATAGAGCCAGTAATATTCAATACCAACAAACGCGCTAATGAAAAAAGAAAGGAATTACATAATTCTTTTATGAGCATAAATAGCAAGAAATTTAACAAGGCTGCGTTATTCAATCTCAGTCCTTCGTTGACAAAGGTCTCAGTTTTGATCTGCTTCCATATAACATACAACATACAGAGTTTGTAACACCTACTTTAAGAAACATCCATGTAAAAGTTGTTAGTGTAAAGTGTATCACATAATGTTAATGAAAACCAACATTTAAGGAAGGTTGTGCTTTACATTTATGAAAGCCGGAGGATTCCAGCTGTTCGAGGCAGGTACAAGAAACTTGGCCATTTCACGTAGAGGGACGACGAGAATATAAGGTAAGGCCTTTATCGTACTAGAAATTAAAAAATAAGCAGGTACTATGTATATTGTTATGTCATGTTGACATGGGTTGTCAGATACACTGCCAACTAAAATATCTAATGTGTCTGTCCCATGTTGTTGTTAAAACGCCAAGGTAATAGTCTCAACGTCTATAACGGCTTTTCCAATCCTATCTTCCCAAGGAAGTTTAGATTTTGAAGTGGCTGGTCAGATCGTCCTTTTCTATCTAAAATGCTCTCAACTTGGATTCTATAGTGCCACACATTCCGTCAGAAGGAGAATCGCGGTTTCGACCTCTTCCTCCTCATAGAATCTGCATTCACTATCTTCTACTATTCTAAGTTTACTTAGATGACCTTTAAATCGGCAATGCCCTGTAGGGAGTCCCGTTACTATGCGTAGCTTGCTTGGGCATATACATACATCTCCGGCTTTCAATAATGCCTGCTTTTATATTCTCCCAGAAATATCTTAGCCTGTCTTAGCCTCAAGAGATCATTTAAATTATCGGTTCTTTTAATGAACTTTTTTATTCTCTTCTATTATTGGGCTACTGTTGATACCACAGAACGGCTCAAGCTTCACAAAGGGTATTTGAGCTACTTTCCTATCCTCAATTCCGTTACTCTTCACCCCGATGCGTCCTACTACTCAAGTGAAAGTCACTTTATTTTTCTAGTTACATCCAGATCAGAGATAAGGGACATAAAGATTGGAAACGCAACGACCTCAGCAACGATGGCGTCATCTAGCGTCTCAGATGTTAACTACAGGTCTACGTCGTTTATAGAGAGACCAGTGTTGCCAAATATTTTTTTTGAGAGATCGTATAAGTAGAGTAGAAAAATGGTATTTCGACAAGAAAATTGTACAATAAATACATGCATAGCATAATATAACTTAAATGGAATGAAATGATAATGTCTTTATCTATTTATAAAAATGTTTACAACGAAAAAAACTAAAGAAAATACATGAAACTTTAAATTAACACATTTAAAGTAATCTACGACTGTCCCTTGAAAGTGATTGAAATTTTGCATGCCAGCTTTTCTTAGGCCGTGATAGTCGGTGTACAAAATCACCGTGGTCAAAATCACGATAACTCAGAACGAAAATGACTGCTTTCAGAAATTACGAACGGCCTATGAATCTTTGCAAGTAGATTTTGATTTTTATTGTTTTATTTTCTAAAGTTGTTGCAGATATTTAAATAAACCTACTAAAAAAGTAAAGATCATATTTTTACGTACTACCTCACTGATGCAATCGTACATCGTACAGAGAGTTAAAAAATCGTATAAATACGATTTAAATCGTCCGGTTGGCAACACTGAGACAGATAGTAGACGTGGACAGCAGTGGACAGTTTGTAAATGTAAATGTCAGTTTTATGTATATCGAAGAATCCAGAGTTTAAATTTTAAATTTTGAGTTCATGATTGTGTTATCCTCTAAATGAACTATGCGAAATAGTTGTGGCTGTTGTTGTGTGAAATGTAAGGACAATAATTATATTTTGTATTATTACAATAAGTCGGAGAACGTATATATTGCATTAGTAACACATGCCACATGAACAAATCTAACAACCCCAATGTGGCGTTCTTTAATTATCCAAAATGGGTAAGATCTATTCATGTAAGTAACACAAATAGTAATCAACTTTTGTCACAAAGTAGGTGTTTATGTATTATTTATTGTTTTAGAACAAGAAAATGGATTCAAAACGTTAGAAAGAAGATTTGATATAGGAAGAAAAATATCTGAATTCCCATTATTGAATTTGCACTCAACATTTTTAAATAAGATACCAAAATAAAAACAAAAATGCAGTGTTACAAATAACAATCAAAAATTAAAAAATATTTGTCATGAATATTAGACTGGGCCAAAAAAATTGACTATTTTTTTTTTTGAAAAATATATCGAGAATATCATTCAGGATGACAAAAAAAAATTTGGTGAAAATTTGAACCCTTAATATTAATTTTAAGAGGTCTATCATCGCTATTTTTGATTTTTAGTCATAATTTGATGTTTTACGTTAGAACTGTCAAAACATTAAAGTAAAAAAAAATCCTTTTCACTTATTTTTATATAAAATTAAATTCTCTACAAAAAATTTCAATTTTTTCTTCGATTTTAATCGTAAATAACTTTTGAAGAATTAAATTTAGGCAAAAATTTTAAGAGAATTTTTTTTGTAGAACATTAAATTTTTTTAAGAAACCGATGTGAGCTTTTTTAAATATTCATTGATTCATTAGTTACAAAATTTCAAAATAAAAAGGACAAATCGAAAAAAACACATCGATCTATTAAGCTCAATTACTCGGAAACGGCTCGTTTGACGAACATTTTCAATGAGACTTTTTTGTAGAGAATTTAATTTTATATAAAAAAAGTGGAAAGGAGTTTTTCACTTTAATGTTTTGACAGTTCTAACGTAAAACATCAAATTATGACTAAAAATCAAAAATAGCGATGATAGACCTCTTAAAATTAATATTAAGGGTTAAAATTTTCACCAATTTTTTTTTTTATCATCCTGAATGACATTCTCGATATATTTTTCAAAAAAAAAAAATAGTCAATTTTTTTGGCCCAGTCTAATGAATATAGATTTACAATAATTAATCGATAATAGACTGTAAATGTAGTATTCTTTTTAATAAATAATTTAGCGTAATTACATTGTTTAATTTTATTTACAATAACATGAGAGTGCAGTCTATATTTATGCAATCTTTATTATCGGGTTTTTAAATTTCCCGCTGCGTTGTTTGATATCGATGAAAGCGCCACATAGTGGGTCAGATGTTAACTGCGATAAAGCTGGTCGTTGTTAAGCATTCGCTTCTTATGGGCGTTTCCTATCTTTATCTCCCTTATCTCTGATCCAGATATTTTTGGGCCGATTACGTAAGAGCTCAGCGCTTTGATGTTTGCTAGACTATCGGACATGATGATATCTCTTGTCTGCGATAGTTTTTATTGACTTTGAACTCATACATTTCCAAATGCGGATTATTTCCCCATAGAAGTTGCTTGGGTATTTTTTCAAACTTTCAGAGTTAGTTACAGGTCCATAGGGGCCTATTCCAGTTCATTTTATCTGTATAACACTGAATGGCATGTTTTTGTTCGCAGTGAACAATTATTTTTAACTTTATTCTTTCTTGCAATTTAAAAAAGTTTTTCACAAAACTGTACTTCTTTCTCATTTCGTCCTGGGGCACGTTCCAGGTATCTTCGGTCTTTGATATTTTAAACCTTATTACTCCCTTCTACTTTACTTTTTGCTACGTTTTTGTGTCCTTCTCATGTGTATTTCAGAGAAGTGCTGGACGTAGGTCTAGTTACTTGATCTTTTTCTATTCTACATCTATCTCATCTAATTTGACAGTTTTGAGATTCAGTTAGTTCTGTTTTGGTGGGGTCTGAACTCGGCACCACCTTCTGGTCCTTCTTAAACTAATTCACAAGCAGGATATTTTTAAAGTTTGCTCTCGCAAAATTGACGTATCTATGCTCCACATATTAAGTGAGGATAGCACTTCTCCTTGTAGACAGCCCATATTCATGCAGATGGCGATGTGTCTTTACCTACATTTGTCTGTCATTTTCGTAGATAGTAGCTGAGTCATCCATCTGGATGTTGTACTGTCTACCCCTCTATATTCAAGTGCTCTCTGACGGATTTTTGCAGCGGTTCTTTATATCTAAGAAGGTAGGTAGGATCCGATTATAATTAGAAGAACACAGCTACGTCATCATTTGGCAAAGTAATTAATTGGTTATCACCGCCTACTGGGGGTTTAGTGGAGAGTTAATATAGAAATATAGGAAATATTGTTATATACCTAACAACTTTCTTATTTTTTATTTATTGATAGTTATAGATAATATGTATTCGAAATTCAAAGTTTTGGGGTTCACAGTAGCAGAATACAGATCCCGGTACAGATATAGGTAAAAAACTGTCAGTGTTTTAGAACGGTATATTATAAACTTTCTAAAACACTGAAAGTTTTTTCTACATCTGTACTGATACCTATATTATGTCACTGTGAACCACCCCACGAGTCGCCACTGAAATGGTTATGACGTAGCGGTGTTCTTCTAATTGTGATCGGACCCTACACACAACCGTTTCTTTGTTTGTCAGTGAATCCTTGATTTAATCAGCCAACTGTTGATCTGCCGTACTGGTTAAGGTAGAATGACGCCCTTTCCAGAATTTCTGTTATGATATAATTATCAACAGCCTTTCTGTGTTTTTAATACAAATGATGTATAAGATTGATTAGAATGATTAAGAAAGTATGGTAGAATTTTTCTCTACTTTTAGAATGAAGGTGACTCTGGCCCCTCTCTGTAGTTCTAGTAAGTTCCCAAATTCTAGACCTTTTTGAGATTTTCAGATCATAATACCTTCTGTGTCCGTTGAAACAGAGCAGGAAATATTCCATCCACCAAACATGTTCTCGACTTAATTTAACCGATTAATGCTGGAATGTGTTTATACATTACTTGTGTCCCTTGTTAGAAAAGGTGTGCTCACAGGAAAGTGAGTTTCGAGTAAGAGGCGACCTCTTTTTTCCTCACTCTCCGTGAAGCTTCTATTTAAGTTAAATTAAATAAGAGTGAGTCAAACAGGCTGTCCATAAAATACTGCCTGGTAACTGTTATGATCTTTGAATATAAATAGTCAGGAAGGAGCATGCTATGTCTGCGTTAATCTAATCAATCTGACGGAAGTGGTAGCCATGTTGGACTATGGATGACTCATCATCATATGACAAATGGTGTCTAAAATTGGTTCCTAATTTTAGTGATTAAAATTTGTTAATAATTTGGATATTTTATGTGTTAATTTAAAATTTATCAAACGTGTGTTTTGTAGACCTTTTTAAAAAGTGTTTAGTGTTTTAGTATTTAGTCAGTATTAGTGTTAATTTTAAGTTTTCCGCGTTAAAAGACACATTACAATATGGTCAGTTGTTGCTCTTGTGGATACAGCAGCACAGCTAAAAGTAGAAAGGAAGGGACTACATTTCATAAGCAAGTATTTTGTTCTCTCAATTATCAACCATATCAAAGATTTGTTAAATTTTTAATGTTTTAAATTTGTAAACAAACATGGTAAGTATGTATGTGATCAACTGTGCTCATAGGCGTAGTCTCATGGTTTATAGGGTATATATACATATTCTGTTTAAACAAATCAATAAATTATTGCTCAATGTTGATTTGTAAATTGATTGCAAGTAAACAATTTTCAGATTTCTTAAGAATTCTAGATTTACAAATTATATAAATTAATCCCAGGTAAACAATTTTCAGATTTCCTAAAGATTCTCATAAAAGAAATTTATGGCTTGAGTTCATGCAAGATACAAATTGTGAGCCAAAATCTCTTAATGTTTTGTGTTCACGCCATTTTAAAGAGGATTGTTTCGACCGAACTTTAAAACTGAGAATAAGACTTCTGCCAACAGCCGTTCCAACAATAAAAGTGGTCCGGTTGAAGTATGTAAGTAAATAAATCCTTTACTAACTATATCATCATATTATATCGGTTTTTTTGAACCTAGGTTTTTAGGTTTTTTAAAATACCTAAAAGTGAAAATTCTGCAATTTTAAGTTTTATAAAATAAATATTATGAATTCACAATTTTACTAATCAAACATTTATTTATTTTTCACTTTTTTGCAGAATGTGATTTTTTTTAATATAATAAAATTATTTGCTTGTATTTTTGTTTAATTTTATTTATAATAACTTTTGATATATAGTATATGAACTAAAAACCTAAAAACCTACTTGTATATTTTTTAATTCTTAGTTTTTTCAAACCCTGAACTAAATAGTCCTAAAATATATAAATATGGTCTATTTTGTGTTTTTTTTTATTTATTTACAGGTGCGAACTTCTGATCCTGAAGTAAGAATTCCTGTAGATGTGCCAAATTTTGAGGCTGTAAAACAAAGAAAGGATCTTCAGGAAATAGATTTATTGGCCGTTCCAGGACCTTCTAGGCCACTTCAGTGTTCTTCTCCTGTTCCAGGTATTTCCTCAACTCTAAAGAGTTCAGATGAGGGTACTCCTCGAAAAAAAATTCTAAAGAGAAAAATTACTGAACTGCAGGAAGAAAATGTTTTGAAAAGTAATAAAATAAGGAAACTACTAAAGGTAACATGGCAGCAAAAAAAACAACTTATGTCTTTGCAATTTATGGTTTGTGAGTTAAAACAAAAAAAAAATATTATTAGAACAACATGAAAATGTCATGATAGAACATTTTGGAAAAAATAAGGAAATAGTTGAACGCCTATTTAAAAAAAGTCAAAAAAAGAGTGTTAAAAAAATATATGAACATTCAGTTAAAACTTTTGCAGTTACATTACACTTTTTATCTCCAAAAGCTTATAATTATGTGAGACAAAGTTTTTACAATAGTTTACTACATCCAAAAACTTTGTCAAAGTGGTACTGTTCAGTAGATGCCAAGCCAGGTTTTACATCTGAAACATTGGATTTTTTAAAATTAAAAGTTGTCAATTCAAACAAAAACTTGGTTTGTTCTCTAGTATTTGATGAAATGTCGATTAGACAGCATTCAGAATTTGTAGGTGATAAATATTATGGTTATGTAGATTGTGGTAATGGGCTTTGTGGTCATAGTATAGATTTAGCAAAGGAAGTATTAGTTTTTATGCTTGTTAATAAAATTATCAAATCTTCTCTTCGATATTAGGAAGTTTTTTATGTACTCAGGCTTGCAAAATATAATTACAAACGCAAATACATGCCTACGGCGTTGTGTTCAAATTTCGTCTTCGTGCGATATGGCCATCATATCCACTTTTGTTGAACAAATGTACTATTTTTTAACGCATCTACAAAACATATTTAATTTTCAAACCTTAAACACGACATACTGTTTTTGTAAAATTTATACCATTTGTAAAATTTAAATTAATAAAAATATTGTCATAATAAAGACGTAAAAAAGTCAAAATTTCTTTAATACATTATTGCTTTGATTTTTCAAAAATTAAATCTTTATAATTTATACCGAAAATATTTTCCTATATTTATCCCACCCAACATGCAATTTTAAAGTAAAATTAATTCACATAATGATGATTAATTTAAAAAAAAATGCTAACTTCTCGCAAGAAAATAGCTATTCGTTAAAATTAAAGAAATCCGTAAATTTAGATAATATTCAAATAAGAATTTATTATTCTCTTTTCTACGCACCCTTATGACAGTACGTCACTGGTAGACCGGAAACACTTGTCGCCATATTCGACTAGTTCACTGTCAAAATTAGATACCATCGCGATTCCAAGGTCGTTTAGGATCCCTCCTTCCTGACTATTTATATTCAAAGGTTATGATTGTAAGTCTAGTTAGTAGTCGAAGTCTAAGTTGTAAACATGCAATGACTGATGACATATTTGACATAAGTCAACAGTCATGTCATGTAGTTTTGGCGGCACAGGAGCGTCTGTCCTGGCTCGCTTATTTAAAACTGTTTTGTTCAGTGTTCCAATAAAGATAGTTTATCATCAAATAAAAGGTGTCTTTTATTGAATACACAACAGTAACCGTTTAGGGAGACAATGGTCCTCCTCCATGGACTGTAATACTATAAGAAGATGAAAGAAGAACTGCAAATAAATTCATAAAAGAGATTGATATTATATAAATATTTTTTTACCTGCAATGGTCTTTCATGTAGATCCAAAATTCGTTGGGTGGCTGGCAAATTATGATCCTTTTTCTCCCAACCACGAGCAACCTCTTCTACCAGAATGTAGTCGTTCACTTTGGTCGGGCTTACGCCAGCTTTTTGCGTGCAAAGTAGTAACACATCTTGAGTAGTACTTTCTTGCGTGATTTTTAAAATCGTATAAGGCTCTTCCGAAACAACTCCGTAGACCATCAAGAAGAACATCCTTCGTTTGACGCATAAAGGAGTACCGGAAATTCCTAAAATAAGTGATATATTTTTGGGCTCGTAAACGTTATCAGAAAGACAAACTAAGATATAAAATATTTTTTATTGTGCAGCTGAAGATACTCATTGAAGAAAAAATGTCTTTATTGATTTCTCATGTAAATCTTTTAATTTTATTTTTCAAAATATTAATAGTTTGTTCTTAACCATATATAAAAGAATCAAATAAATAAAATAGTAGATGCCATTGAGCATTGAAAAAAGTAAAATCGCCCTGCAGTGTTGCTGGTTGTTGCCCACTCCTTTGATAAGATATGACACGAAGGTTTATTGTATAAATGGAACAAAATGTTCCTAAAGCAAAATTCAGAAATACTGACATATATTTCAGATAGGCTCATTAGAGTAGGTATAGCAGGAGAATGCATATTGCGACCTAAAAGAAACAATACCTAGGACACTTTAAGGAACCTAAGAGAAACAAGAACTGGGGTACTTCAAAAAAGTGTTATAAAATTATAAAAAATTAAAATATTTATATATTTAAACCAGTGTACTTTGCGGCATTCAGTTGTGGGGTTATACCAAAATAATTCAGTCATTCCATAACAAAGTATTAAGCAACGATGTGAAGGCCTCTTGTGCATGATGTGGATGTAAATACATCGAGTCTTAGAAATCCCCAAAGAAGAGATTAGGTGGTATGCTGACAAACATGAAACATACACCTTATTCATGCCAACATGGAAGATCGTCAACAACTGGACAACTAACACCATTCAAGAAAATCAAATTTGATATTGTATATAGTATGTCATGTAAAAATAGAGGACAGTGTATGAGTTTTTTTTTTCACTTCCTCCGAAAGAGCTGAACAGGTACCGCCATAGTGGCATATCTTCTGGGCAGCTCTGGTCTTTGTAATTTATTACTGCTTACCTTCCTCTGCTTTTGTCTTCAGTATCGTTTTTATGTACTGGTGTACTATCTGCAACATACCTCTCGTTTGCAATATTTCTTCCAGGGAATTGTCTGCGCCTAGTATTACCCCTAGCTGGATGTGTGTCCGTTGTCTTTGTAGCGACCATTCGTTCTGCCACATCTCGATGGTGCGTTGCCTTTCTTCCTTTTTTGGCTGTTGTTAGTTTGTCTCTTAAGGTGTAAACGGAATCTTTCCCTTACCATCAGGTGTATAGCAATAACCCCGGCCACGACATTTAAGGCGACTGTTGATGCAGTTCTGTAGGAGCTGCAGGTTCGCGATAGGCATTTTCTCTCTACTCTAGATAGCAAGGTCTTGTAGTATTTTATATGCAGCATCTGATGCCATATTTGTGCACCATACAGTATGGTGGATTGGACCACACCGTGAAGAATCTTTCTTCTCATGCTGCTGGGACCTCCTAGATTTGGCATAATGCGAGACAGGCTGGAAATTCTCTGTTCTGTTTTCCTGGTGATTTTTTCAGGTGTTCTCCATACTTTCCTTTCTCGCTTAAAGTTATTCCCAGGTATTTAACGTGTTTTGAAGGTCTTATTTCTGGATCTGCCATGTGTACTGTTTGCTCTTTTCTTGGTGCCTTTTAGAACTATCATCTCGGTCTTGTGTTTTGCTAGGGTTAGCTTATGTTTTTCCATCCAGACCTCTATCATATCAAGGGCTACTTCTGCTTTTTGGATGAGGTTGTATTTTGTGTTTGCACATACCGTGAGAGCTAAATCATCAGCAAAAGCTACTGCATTAACTCCTTCCGGGAATCTGCAACTTAGTACCCCGTCATATACTATGTTCCACATGGTTGGTCCAAGTACCGATCCCTGAGGGACGCCCGCTGTGATATTTATGACCTCTTTATTGCCGATAGTTATGCCCCTGTAGTGTAGATAGTCATCAATTATGTTTTGCAGGTATTGTGTGATGTTTAGTCTCGCCAGATATTGTTTGATTTTGTCCCATGAAGCACTGTTGAAGGCATTTATTACGTCTAAAGTAATTTTGGCAGTCCCCATTTTTTTTTTTCATTTTCTACCCGTGTCAGAGATATGACCTCTGTGGCTTGAATGGTTGATTTTTTCCTGCGGAATCCGCACTGTTCTCGTATATCCCCCCCTTCTTCGTCCAGATATGCTTCTAGTCTACCCTTGATTAGCGCTTCGTACATAGTGTTAAGTAGGCAGATTGGTCTGTATTTCGTGCTATTTGGATCAGTTTGTACGTTGCTCTTTGGTATCAAGACCAGCTTCGCTATTTTCCATGCGCTGGGGAAGATTTGAAGGGTCAGGAGTTCGTTGAGAAATCCTAAGAGCCAGTTCGGTTGTTTCTCGCTTATTAGTTTGACAAGTTCTGGGAGTATACCCGGGGACTTTTTATTTTTGAGAGCGTCTAAGCATTTCGATAGCTCTTCTGCAATAAATATCTTGACTTCTGCACTGGTTTCCCTTCTGATATTTCTGTTTGTGCCTTTAGGAAATAGTTCGTGAACAATTTTGAGCTTCTCCTCCCTGGGTAGTGCATAAGGGATGTAAGCTCTAAGCTGCTTCATTACTATTCCATAGCCATCCCCCCATATGTCGTTTTCAAGTTGCTGCAATCATTCTTGCCAGAGTTTCTTTTTTGAAGTGGATATTATTTTTTTCAGCTCTGTCTTCGATGCTTTGTAGGCGTTTTCTGCAGTTTCGATCTCTCTTGTGCTGTGACTTCTATTTGTGCGAATTCTGCTAGCAGTTCTTCTGTTTCTTATGCACTCACGCCTTTTATTTGCAATGTCAGTTGTTCACCAGTAGGGTGTCCCTCTACCTGCTTTGTTCCTTACGGTGCTCCCTTTCCATATTTTGTTAATAATGTCACTGTATTCGTCTATGTTCATTCTTTTATGTGCTAGTCAATAAGGGCCCTGCACGCTTTCCAGTCTAGAGTGGCGGTGTTTCTACAATTTTTTGTTGATTTTCCATCAATAGTGTATTCTATGAATTTGTGTTGTATTAGTGTCTCGTCTTCTAGCACTTGCCAGCTGCCTATTGATTTTCATATTTCCTGACTGGCACATGTGACATCGATGAAGGATTTTGAAGCTCCTCTCACAAAAGTGGGTTTGTCGCCTCTGTTAAGCACATTGAGGTTTAGTGTTGTGATCCAGTCCATAAATAGTGTTCCTCTTCTATCAGTTACAGGCGATCCCCATTCGGCCGATTTAACGTTGAAGTCACCTGCGATAATTAGCTCTGTCTGGCAGTATCTGGCGTTTTCCATGATGTTGTCGATGCTAGTTGTGTAGTCCTGGTAGGATATATTTGGTGACAGGTAGACTGCGTACAATGTGAAGCCTGGAAATGTTACTGTCAGGTAGTGGTCGTAGGAGTTTATTTTTTTGATGCAAATGCGGTTCATTTTTTATGTAAACAGCGACGTTTTTTAGATTATCGACAAACCAGCCCCTTTTTGCGCAATTTTTTTGTTGGGTTCACTAACGATTATTAGATCAGCGTCAATTTCTGATGCTGTAGAGTAGGCTGCATCGTGTGCCTCCCTGGGTCTTCCAAGATTTGTTTGTAGAATACGTATCCTTCGCATTTCCCCCATTTTTTTGGTGCTTGTGTGTTTTTGTTGTTGTTTTGCTTGTGTAGTTGTTGTTCGCTGCTGTTGTTTCTTGGTTAGAAAATGCTGGGTAATCTCTGTCTCGCTTGGCCTCTGGCCTCCTCTATGAGTTTTTTCTATATTGGGCACCTCATATTGCTATTTCTTTGGCCAGATTATTTGCAGTTGTGGCGATATTCCTCGTTTTTTTTGGGGCATTCTCTAATTGTGTGGCCGTTTCTGCCGCACCTCAGACAGTCATTTGTTCTGTCTTCGCCTCGACAGTTCTCCCTTACGTGGCCTATTTGTTGGCATCTAAAACATCGCTGCAGATTTATTCTTTCCCTGATGGAGAGGCTCATCTAGCCCACCTTTAAGATCTCAGTTCTTAGTAAGTTTTCGGCGGTACGAACTTGCAGCTTGATTGTTGCATTTTGTCCATCCTCCATCTTTGACTTCTTTTAGTAAGTCCGCATATGACTTTCCTATTTTGGTGTATGGTATATAAGTTATAATGTAACAAGTAACAAGACTTATCAAGAATTATCTAGTATTAAGCCTTTTTTAAAGCAAATTAATAGTTAATAGTCTTTTTAAATAGTTTTAATAGCTAGATATCAGAAGGTGTTTAAATAAATAAAACAAGTTATCTGCCTTTCAAGAAGTTTTGGGGCAAGTGATTACGGTATGCCCAAATCTCTCTTTTACAAATATCTATTATATATATATATATATAAATTGTAAATTCCAAATATTATCCATATCTCAAAGTGGTTCGAAGTAGATTAAATAGAACGATAAAACACCAAGTCTGTCGACCACAGGTGTGTTTTTCTTTATATTTATATAAATTGTGTTTATTATAAAGCTTAAACTATGTAAGTATGTGTTGAAATTTATCCAAGGCCCAAACCAACTCTCACACTCACACACAAGGTGGTCTAAAACATACCATACCTTTTTGTAGTCCAAAATAAACATGAGAAACTAACTTAAAACAGATGCAAAATTACCTAAGAAAGTTCCATCAGGCCCGCTTGTTTCTGCCGCATCGGTTTCTGTTTTTTTCGGCCTTTCGGCAATTCCCTCTCCAGAATCGGTGTTCTCCAAACTTTCCTCCTCCAATCTAGAGTAAATAAATAACGTCGACATGTTGTAGTTCTTATTCGATGATGACCGTAGCCTCACATGTCTATAACCCGGCCTTAAACTCTTCAGCGGCATTATTCTTTGAGCCAAAAGATGATTACATGCAGCATCTATAACCGTGAACCTTAGGAACGCTAAATCATGGAACATTATTCTAAAATGGAACGTGTCGTTCCAAATAGGATTGAGTGAATTTTTGTGAACAATTTTGGTTTTTTGCTTATTGCAGTCGACTTGAATACCGATAATTTCTACCTCTACGTAGGTACTGAGGTTAACGTTATTTTGGCCTACGTACTGACCAGACACTATGTTGATAACCATTTGGGATGAATGTATACCATCGAATTCCTGAAATTAGAAAAACATTATTTAAGTAGAATTCTTTGATGTTTTGGAATTAATTACGAAGATTATTTTGAAATTAATAACCATAAAACATTATGTTGATACAATTTCGTTGGTTTATTGGATAACATAAATTTAGTTTGTTGTTCTACATAATTGTCCAAATGGAGAATTCTACTGTCTTTTGCTAAAAGAAACAAAAAAAAAGTGTAACAATATATTCCCGATTTGCTTTACCCCTACCAGTAACCAAGAGGTTTGGTGTCTTAGACTCCTATAACACTGCAGACCCTTGGCTTATTGTTTTTTACCCTATTCGTTCATTCATATTATAAAACAGGTTTTTCACTAAATATAAGTTCTTGGCTCAACTTGCGTTTTGGGACATTAGCCTAGTAATTATTCTGTTTTCTCTGAACCCAGTATTTTATAAAACTTCGTAAAATACTTTTTGGTACTTCTAGTTTTGTATCGGGTGCCGGTGCTTCTTTTGAACCTCTTTATTAGAAGTTCGTCCACCTTTCCGTTGCCCTCTCATTTTTTTGTTCTTGCACATTACGAAATTATGTAAGCCTCTACCTAGAATATTGAGGAATATTTGAGTTTTATGCAGCCTGAAGCTCATATGTAGACTAGATTTGTTCTTGTCCAGTAAGTCTTGAAATTCGTTGTGATTATCCATTCTGTTCGGTATTAGAACTTCCAATGGAGCGTCAAGAAGTATTGCTCGGTCATGTAATCTGTTCTCACATAGCTGCTATAGCTAACTATATAGATCATCTTAAATTCACTCAGTAGCAGGAGAAACAAGGTGATTGATAAGTGAAATTTGGTGACATTAGATTGAAAGATATAGTAAAACATATTTTTGCTATAGCCATTTAAAAATCAACAACTTTCGTCACGGTTTACTCCAACCGAAAACGCCAGTTCCGACACAAGTGATAGAATATCCCATAACGTTAATTTTCGTCTCTAGTGACGAAAGTAAGTGGTTGCAATTTCAGATATTATAAAATTATTGTTGCAGTCTTAGAATTCATTTTTAGGATTTTATAAAGGAAAAGTTCAATTATAATATAAAGGTAAATGCCAAAACAAACATGGTAAAACGGGGTTTACCCCTAAATCGCAGATTTCGTCGAGATCACTTTAAAGATAATTCAACTCATTCAAACTTCTTGTACATCCTATATAGTGGTTATAGAAAAAGTATAGTGTTTTACTCGTCGAAAAGCATTTTCTGCAACATGAGGACATTATCAAACTCGGCTGCGCCTCGTTTGATAAACTGTTCTCTCGTTTGCAGAAAATGCTACTTTCGTCACTCGTTAAACAATATACTATTTTATTAATACATTCCCTGTTACTGACCTAGTAGTACTAATGCAATTTGGTCTAATGTTAACTTCTCCCAATGTGTTATATAGTCTATAAGCTCTTAACATGTTAGGTTAGACTTATGCTTATGCTACATATCAAAACTACTAAATTGGTTCAATAACATATTTTTTTGGTCTTTTTTAGGTCTTAAGTATACGGTAAATGTTAATAATTATTCCCAAATAAATCCTAAAAATCCCCGTGTTAACTTTTATTTTTAGTCACTCATCTGACTGTAAAAAAGTGACACGTTATGTTTTTCGCTTGCTATTTGTAGTTGGGTACAGGAGAAGGAGACGAATAATATGTACTATGTCCCGGTGGTGGGAGCTGTCGTGTAACTTGTCAAATTCAGAGTAAAGTTGTTTATCGCTGGCGATAAAATATATGATTCTAAAAGTCTATAACAATAAAAAAACTCTGTCGTCCAGTTTTGCTATTTCCGATGTATGGATTTCGGCCTACAAATATCAAGCAAAGAAACACGACATATTTGCAACACATGCCATTTCGGTGTCATTTTACGAATTCAAACAACTTACCTTATCCCAGGGGTTGAACCTCCTATACATGACGTGCTGTCTGTCCCACATAATATTGGGTTTACTAACATATCCACATTTTCCGTTATTCTCGAAAAGTGCGGTATTCAACTGCATTGCCGTGTCTTCAGTTTGATAATTTAGTGCCGCCATCTGTATGCCGAATGACCAAAATATTACCGGGTTGAAGTTTGACGAGTCTATTCTCATTCCTGCAGGATAAGTTCTCATCAGCTGAGTTTGGGTGTGCGCTACCAGGGCTAAAGGTTGTTTCCTAAAATGATTACAAATTTTTTAACTGATAACTTTGGACATAGGGATTTTATCTGGATCCTTTGATAATTGAAACATCACTTCATCACTTACAAAACGGTTTTTGTTAGATAATTACTATATTGTTGCTTCACAGTTTCTTTGTTTGCATAATTACTAGGAAATTAGAAATGATTGATACCTAAGATTATAAAACGGAAATTTTGTATTTATTATGCTGAACAAGTTATTAAAAGAAATACTCATTTGTAGACTACTCTTTGTTAAACGTCATAATAGCAACTAAATTTATAGAAACTTTAGCGAAAGTAATATTGGTATCCATGGTGTGAGAAGCAGCATTCTAGCTGAAATGACCCGTGATTTACAAGTACATTGCCAATCTACCCCTTATAACAACAAACCCTGGTCTCCCTTACTCTATTTCAATAACTATCATACAAAATCTTATATTTGTTTAGATATATTTTCTACTTCGTGTTTGATAATAACCCAGATTGGATCAAGGAATAGTTAATTAAAAAAAATTTTAAAGCAAAATTATTACCTGCACAATTTTTTAGCAGTGTTTTCGTTAATAGATGAACATTGGTAGCAGGGCAAATGAACATTCGGACGTTTCTGCCCTTCACTCTCAAATATGGTGTTGTCGGATTCGCTAGTCGTTCCTGAGCTAATGTTAGACGCTGAGCTAATTCCCGATGTTGCACTGGAACTTACTGAGCAGGCTATCGCTTTCTGGCGTTGCTTAACCGAGCTGCTCGGTGAAATTGTGTTTAATCCTCGAAATTTTATTGCCTGGAATAAAAAATATCATTTAACACAATCGACAAGAGATCAAGTATGTACAAAAGAAAGCCGAATATTATTAAAAAAGCATAATATGATTTTCTACTTTAAAATCTTCAACAGAGTAAGAAGAAAGTAGTAGGTTCTTGCCTATATAATATTTAAGGTAAAGAAAAGTAAATACAGGAAGGCAGAACGTGGAGGCTGTTGAAAAAACTTGAACATGTTTTCGTTAGTCAACACCATAGAAAAACTAAAACGTCAACACAGTCTACTTTAAACCAGCCCTGGCATATCTAGAACAATCCAACGCGATTTCGTCATCTTTCTACGTTTTTAAAGTTAAGTTTTTAAAAGTACTAATGCAACTGTATTACAAAGCCAGTGATGTAAAATCATTTATCCCTTTGTGTGATTGAAGAATAAAATGTTTAGTGAAGATGGTGATTTTGTATCCTTGAACAAACATTACATCGAAAAATCAGTGCAGGCACATGGAATGACTCTTACGGCAATTTTGAATTCCCATCAAGAAGTTTTTTTTTATACCTAGAAGTTTGTTTTGGTACAATCTGAAAACCGTGGTTTGATTCATCTCTAGAAGATCTAGACAATTTCGAGTTTAAGTTAGAATACCAAATATCACGAGATCATTCAAGTTGCAGAATTACGAATAAGGATCCCAAATCCCTTCAAAAAAGTTGCAAATTTGAATTTAGTAAAACCATGTGAATTTGAATTTGCTACTACCTTATCTAAAGCATGGTTTAAATATAATTTGTTAGTGGTTAGCGATTTTCTATATTTTTATCACTAATATAAAGTCAAGTATAGTAAGCTTTAAATATAGTGGTGCCCAACTTCTTTTTCAAAGTTATTCGAGTTATTTAATAACCTAACTCACGCCCAATCAATTGAGCTCAAACACGTTATACAAGTAGATAGAATAACTAACTGTAACTAGACATCACATTACAGACTTATTTTACGCAATCCAATCATTCCTAATGTCTAACATTCTAACATTCCATACATTACAAACATTCTAATATTATGCACTCCAACGACCTGTCAAGATCAAAAAATCGAAAAATCGAAAAATCGAAAAATCGAAAAATCGAAAAATCGAAAAATCGAAAAATCGAAAAATCGAAAAATCGAAAAATCGAAAAATCGAAAAATCGAAAAATCGAAAAATCGAAAAATCGAAAAATCGAAAAATCGAAAAATCGAAAAATCGAAAAATCGAAAAATCGAAAAATCGAAAAATCGAAAAATCGAAAAATCGAAAAATCGAAAAATCGAAAAATCGAAAAATCGAAAAATCGAAAAATCGAAAAATCGAAAAATCGAAAAATCGAAAAATCGAAAAATCGAAAAATCGAAAAATCGAAAAATCGAAAAATCGAAAAATCGAAAAATCGAAAAATCGAAAAATCGAAAAATCGAAAAATCGAAAAATCGAAAAATCGAAAAATCGAAAAATCGAAAAATCGAAAAATCGAAAAATCGAAAAATCGAAAAATCGAAAAATCGAAAAATCGAAAAATCGAAAAATCGAAAAATCGAAAAATCGAAAAATCGAAAAATCGAAAAATCGAAAAATCGAAAAATCGAAAAATCGAAAAATCGAAAAATCGAAAAATCGAAAAATCGAAAAATCGAAAAATCGAAAAATCGAAAAATCGAAAAATCGAAAAATCGAAAAATCGAAAAATCGAAAAATCGAAAAATCGAAAAATCGAAAAATCGAAAAATCGAAAAATCGAAAAATCGAAAAATCGAAAAATCGAAAAATCGAAAAATCGAAAAATCGAAAAATCGAAAAATCGAAAAATCGAAAAATCGAAAAATCGAAAAATCGAAAAATCGAAAAATCGAAAAATCGAAAAATCGAAAAATCGAAAAATCGAAAAATCGAAAAATCGAAAAATCGAAAAATCGAAAAATCGAAAAATTCAAAAATTCAAAAATTCAAAAATTCAAAAATTCAAAAATTCAAAAATTCAAAAATTCAAAAATTCAAAAATTCAAAAATTCAAAAATTCAAAAATTCAAAAATTCAAAAATTCAAAAATTCAAAAATTCAAAAATTCAAAAATTCAAAAATTCAAAAATTCAAAAATTCAAAAATTCAAAAATTCAAAAATTCAAAAATTCAAAAATTCAAAAATTCAAAAATTCAAAAATTCAAAAATTCAAAAATTCAAAAAATCAAAAATTCAAAAATTCAAAAATTCAAAAATTCAAAAATTCAAAAATTCAAAAATTCAAAAATTCAAAAATTCAAAAATTCAAAAATTCAAAAATTCAAAAATTCAAAAATTCAAAAATTCAAAAATTCAAAAATTCAAAAATTCAAAAATTCAAAAATTCAAAAATTCAAAAATTCAAAAATTCAAAAATTCAAAAATTCAAAAACTCAAAAATTCAAAAATTCAAAAAATCGAAGAATTGAAATATCTAAAAATTCAAAAATCCAAAAATCCATTTCACATTTGAGTTGCAACCATAGCCATTTTGGAGGCTATTTTTATTCGAAACAAGCCAGCCAATTTTTGAAAAATATGTAAGTTTCTTGAAAATTACTTTTTTATGGTGTTGCTAACTTAAGCTTACTACCCCTAGCCACAGTGACTCCTTCAATAATTTACTGGCTCTCTGTCGCAACCCCATAGAGTAATTAACCGACCATTTGGCAAAAATCAGAATAATGCTTAGCTAGTCAAGTATCTAGTTGTGATGTATGAATTGCTCTTAAATGTCAAATTATTTAAAAATGTTTGTAAGCTTCTTTTGATATTTATTTTTAATAATTTTTAACATTTGCAATTTAAAAATAATTACACAAGTCAATAATATATTTTTTTTCTGGTTAATAGAAATGGTACGCATTTGGTTGTTTCAAGGTTAAGCGAGTGACGGTTTTACTGTGATTTTCATATTTTATGAACCTTGTGAGATATATTTGCTAACTGAATTTGAAAACGTGTTTTTCAAAAATAATACAATTAAAAATATACCCAGATATTTTTATAAAATTTTGTACACACCTTTTAATTATTAAGGAGCATTTTTTGATGTAAAAGATTTTTTAAAATTTTTACCAGTGATGTGCGAACGGGATTTTAACTCAATAATTATGAAGAAAAAAAAAATGGTTTCTAAAATCCAAAATTATTTTTGAAATACTCATTTATTTTGGAGCAAATTTTATTCATCAAATTTCGTACGACGCACCGTTTTCGCGTAATATATTTTTTTTCCAAACACTTTTTTTTGATAAAAATTAATATTCTACTTCCACCAGTGACGTCCACGTATGATAAAAAGGTTATTTTTTTCTTAAAACTGTAGACAAGGGTTAGCAGATTGTCATGACATTGTATTTTTTGGCCAATGAAATAAAATATGTCAAGTTAGTCGGTCAGCTCGGTCGAACGTTTTGATTTTATTCTAAACAAGCGATACTCCTTGAACACTCCATTCAAAATTATAAAACGAATATAAAGGAGATCACCATAAGACAATAACAAACCTGGTATATAGACGGAAAGGTACTGATGTGAGCCCTTAGGGCCATATCGGACTGCATCGAAGAACCAGTGGAACTAGAAATAAACTAGAAGGACCAAAAAGTACAGTACGAGGTTTCATCAAAAACTAGGTTCGTAGAATTATGTGATTTTTGTTTATTTTCAAACAACAGTTTATTTATTAATAATTTATTTAAACACTTATTTATTTTAAACAATACTATTTTAATTTATATATACTTCGAATGTCTTTAAACTGATCACTATTTATAGTCACCACTGTCTATCTACTAATTACTATTTATCTTCACTGTCCATATATCAACTGATCCTGATGGCTCTCCTCCACCAATTTATATACAAATTGGTGGTCGAGAATGCTCCCCCACCAAAATTGCCAGTATGTACCAGAAACGTTATCACGTTCTAGAAATAGTATCTCGTTGACCCTGGAATGTTCGCGAAAGTGTCTCCACCATAGTCGTCCCATAGGTTTGGTCTTAAGGGGTTTAATTATGTATATTAATCGGACAAGTTGAGCCTCAAAGGCTAAATAAGACAGAGAGGAACTTGTAGGGTTAGAGAATGACTGAATAATGAAATGGCTCACATAACAATTATTAGGAAAATATCCAGAAATAAACACGCGAGAAACTCTTCATAGAAAGACCATGTTCAAAAAGAATAGAACTATTCTATAATATATGAGTTTGAACCAGTTAAGAACAGTCCACTTTTAAGCAGTTTTATCCATCTCAGAAACGGTAATAGTTTTCGAGATGAAACCTGATGAAACCTACACTACCGTGCGGGAGTTATTAAAAGTTTATTTATTTATATTTTGTGTTTCATGAAATTTTTACCTTATTCCTACACCCCTTCACACTTTTTTATTTTATATTTCAAATTAGCGCAATAGTTTTTTACTTACGAATCCTGTACTATAAGATTCGATAATTTGACGATGAAGACACTCAAACACTTATATGAGGAACATCTGAAGAAACTTGCGGCTTGTAGAGCAGCATGGGTCACTAAGTATTATTAAATAATTAAATTATATTCATTGATAGTCTAGTAGTTTAAAAAAAAACTAATTTTTGAATAAAATATTTTACTTTAAAAATATTGGATCATACGTTATGCTTTTTCGATTGCCTGATTCCAGGTTAGATTTTCATCTTTCAATATATCTGCTATTGAGATATCCCTAGTTTTTCTTTGTCACCGCGTGATAATTTTTCAAATTATTTTACACCTCAACCGCAGTATTTATTTTTTTCCCATGCATTTCTTTGCCCACTCTATCCAAATTCCCAAACCACTTTTATCTTAGGGTCTATTTATACTCCCTTATTATTAGTATTTGCATTAGTATTATGATTAAGCATTAAGTTGAACCTTCACAATGTAATGGGGACATTTATACTCGATTTATGATTAGTATTAGCATTAATAATTATGCTTAATAAT